CAAGACTTGTTCGAACGTTGCGAACCAACAACGTGCTGATTGCTTTAATCCATATAACGACTTATTTAATTTACAGACCAAGTTGTTATCTGTACATGGGATTCCTTGTGGTACTTTCATAAAAATCTCTTCCTCAAGTTTCCCATTTAAAAATGCCGTTTTTACATCCATATGATGCACTAGCAATCTATACTGATTTGCGAATGCTAAAATAAATCTGAAACTTGCTATTCTTGCAACAGGTGCAAACGTCTCATTATAATCAATAAGATATTCTTGATTGAAACCACGAGCTACTAAACGCGCTTTATATTTTAATGGTTTTCCAGATTCATCATTTTTAATAGAAAATACCCATTTACAATCAATGATATTTCTGTCAATAGGTTTTTGTACCAGGGTCCAGGTTTCATTTTTGAGGAGTGAATTAATTTCCTCTTTTATAGCACTTTCCCATAAATGTCTATCATCCCTGGATTGGATTTCATCAAAAGATCTAGGTATAGAACATACTAATGATTGTGCATGCAGCAAATAATTATTTGATAGATCATCTTTACTGTCATCATAACACACTTTAGGTATGTTTTTAATCCTTTCACTCCTTCTTAGATTCGGAGATGTTTTATCATCTTGAGATATTGTCAATTCATTTGGAAATGCAGAGTCTGAGTACACATCTGTTTCACTTACAGATTTATTAGATGGTGGATCTAATGACATAGGTATTTCGAACGTTTGTCTCATACAACTATCTGATTTCATCTTATCAGATTTTTGCACCTCCCAACCATTGGAGTGCCCGTCAGATTTAATGGAATTTTTACTCACAATTCCTTCAGGCTTAACTGGCCTACTTGATAAGAAATTAATCTCATCAACTATTACATCTCTGACTTTCACAAACCTTTCGTCTACCAGTAACCACACCTTTATCCATTTGGTTCATATCCAACCAGGATACCTTTTGATGACTTTTCATCAAACTTATGTCTTTTTGTCTTATTCATAAAATAAACAGTTGAACCAAAGACTTTCAAATACTTAAGTTGCGGCTTTTTACCATGCCACAATTCAAATGGTGTGTTATCAACTCTCAGTGCTTTTGTGGGTGTGATATTTACTAGATAAGTAGCAGTTAACACAGCCTCACCCCAGAATGTTTTCTCTAATTTCGCACCGGACACCATAGCCCGACTGCGTTCCGTTAATGTTCTTATCATTCTTTCTGCTACACCATTCAAAGCTGGCGTATGCGGCACTGTTAAATGGTAGCTTATACCTTTTGTAACACAGTACTCTCTCATTTCTTTCGATAAATATTCACCACCATTATCACAATATAAATTGACAATACTCAGGTTAAAGTGTGCCATACTTTTTGTTGCATAATCCCGAAAAGCAGTAAAAACATCTGATTTATGAGCTAATAAGTATGTTGCACAATAATGAGTAAATTCATCGACAAAAACGACAAAATAGTTTTTGTTGTCAAGTGTCGAAGGAGTGACGGGACCCGAAACATCTGTGTGCACCTTAAATAGTGGTCGTTTTGTTACCTTTGGCTTTGATTTGTTAAATGGTAAACATGCTTGTTTTCCATAAATACAAGCTTCACATAAGTTGTCACATGGCTTAATATGACTTATTTTCTCTATATCAGAAAACATTTCTTTATGCTTTATTTGCATAAATTTTGATTTACTAATGTGGCCTAAACGTTGATGCCACAACTCATAGTTATTTACGACTCTATTTAAAGAACACACAACAGACCCTTCAAGTAAAAAGTTAATTCCAATTAAATTGTTCAAACACTCACCCTTTGTTACCAATGTCTTACCCGTGTCGAAAATTTGTACGCTTCCATCTTTGCCAAAAATAATTGTCATACCAGCTTCTTGCATTTTCTTTACTGAAAGCAAGTTGTATGGAATATCTTTACAGAATAAAACATCCTGTAATATACCTTTTAATCCCAAGTTACTAATAACCGGTAAGTTTCCCTTTCTTGTAGCCTGGATGTAAGTACCATTCTTCGCCACGGAGATATTTACTGGTTTTTCTAATTCTGTAAACTTTTCCGCTAAATCTGGCCTGTTGATGAAATGGTCTGAAGCGCCAGAGTCCAGCACAAATGTAATGGTTTCTTGGTTATTACGTTTTATGGCATTTGCTCCTACCATAAATGCAAATCCGGATATGTTTGGATCAGTTGTTTCAGTATTCACTACTTGTATTGTTCGACGGTGTTCAGGCTTTTGAAACCGTTCAGTTGCCATCTTGTTGTAATAACAGTTTTTCATAATGTGACCTTTTCTTCCACAATGGTGACATTTCACGTGTTTAGATTTATAATTTCTTTTAAATCTCTTATTAAATAATTGTTGACCCCGTTTCGGTTGATGGTAGGTCGCATTTGGGAATTTATTTATTTTTGAAAATGGAGTGGTTTTAGCTTGTAATACTTTTAAACTTGTGTCTCGATTTTCATTGTTTAGTTTAATTTCGTGGTCTAGCAATCTAGTTTTCACGAACGTCAAGTTTAAATTTTCTTCGGCTAAAGTTTCGATCGCAGTAATAACACTATTATAAGAGTTGGGTAAGTGTCATGAATAAATGCGTTATTTTATCGTTCTCATTTAACGTTGCTCCCGCCGATACTAGTTCGCATATTAAATCATCAAAATTTTGAAAATGCTTTACTAATTGGTCTTCTTTAAACTTCATATTGAGAAGTTGTTTTCTTAAAGTTAACTGATTAGATGTACTTTTTCGCTCATATATCAAATCTAATTTATTGAAAATGTCTTTAGCTGAAGATTGTTCAGTAACTAAACCGAGTAAAGTGTCTGATAAATATTCTACCAAAATATTTTTCGCTATTTTGACACTTTTAATCCACTCAGTATTAGGTTCGTTTGGCGATTCTTCATCGATCACATGAAGTACATTAAGTTCACTTAATAGATTACGAATTCTTAATTTCCAAACACTATATCTTTCACCGTCGAATTGTTTAATGTTCCGTTTCAAGTTGGAGCTGTCCATTTTCACTGATTTAAATTTCACAGTATATTTATAAAAATAAAGTCACTTAAAATTTATTAATTGTCTTTTAAAAGTATTTACGATACTTCTAACAATTATTATTAATTACACTGTACTTTACTGCACTGCACTGGTGCACTGGTGCACTGGGCCCATAACCTGTTAGGTTTGGGTTGATGAAATAAAACTAAGTTTATTTATCAAATAGCAGAGGTGGAATTTATTATTTTACTTTAGGAGGTGTGTGTTGCCTGAAGGCGTTAGCAGAACCGAATGAGGGTGAGATGCAAACTTCTCAGTGAGGGTTAGCTGGCCACTTAAGGCACTTATAATAGTGGCGTGAGAATAATGAGTAGATTGATTTTTGTTATTCCAACAGTGCTTGCTTACTCATAAATGGAAAGGTTTGGCAGGTCAAGGCAGACTGGTCAATTTAATGTTATCCATGTCAAATCACTGTCAGTTTTTTCGTACCACCTTATCTGATTGATGTTTTGATAAATTGATTATTGGGGAAAATATTAGGTCAACATAGACATTAGAAGATAAGGTTTTGTGTTTGATTAGAATTGTTCCAAAAAGTATAATGGTATATATTGGTGCACCAAATACATATTTTATTTTTTATAGCCAGAGATTTCAGGGAAATATTCTATAGTATAGAAAATACAATTTTTGTTTGTTTGTAAACTTTGAATATTCATACACAAAAAATGTTTGTCTAACTTAAAAAAATATTTAGTAAGTAAATATATAATATGTATAAATCAACTAATGAATAAAGTTTATGTTGAAACAGTTATTAATACACAACAACACAAACATCTCAAGTATCACTCAGTGCAACCATGAAATTTGATGCCCAACCACAAACCTTATGACTGTGACAAGTTATCCAAGAGTTTCCTATAACTCATATACATATGTAATATGGTTACTGATATAAAGTGGTATAATGACATAACACTATTGTCAATACAATTATGACTGAGATGTAACATGGTTAAACTAAATGTACCATGTGTCTATGGAATACTAATTGTACATACAGTATTTGTATTCTTTATACACTGGATGAATATGCGGGATGTTCGCCAGATAATTCTTAATAAATATATGCAAGAATGCTTTAAACATGACCAAAATGACAATACATATAAGTGACCTAGAGAATCAATTACACCAAGTTTGTTTATAGAATTCAATAATTAATTACTTCCTCATTGAATAAGCACATCCTGTATTTTGTGTATTGACAGATAAATGTAAAATAAAGAGTAAACAAAAAACCATAAATAATCTAACTTTTTGTATTTATCTTCTTCTCATTTTAAATAACAAGTAGGTAGCTTCAGGCCAGTAAAAAAAATACAAAACAAAGTAAATATTTAACTTTATATAAATTCTGAGAATACTAATTAGAACTTAGTCAAACTTAATCAAAGTGTTGTCATCTTAATTATTATTAACCATTTATAACTTTGTTGGACCATAACAATGTCTAAATATTCAATTTAAAAATAGATATGTGTCTGTTTATTACAAAAAGCTTATTTAATTAACAAACTGGTTTATTTAGGTAGTTATAATTTTAAATCACAAATTGTCAAATTTGAATTAAATTATTGCTGTCTATAATGTGATTTGAAAATAAGCCTGATACAGAATTTTAGAGTAAAATCCAATTGGATTTTTTATTCAGTACTACAGATTTTTACCATGTAAGGTTCTATTATTATAAGGTCAAAGTAATGTTGATAGATACTGTTTATTACTTACACAAAACACACTACAAGTGATTTAAATTGCCTCAAGGTTTAGAGTGAACATTAAGAACAGATAACACTAAATATTATTGTTACAACACATAAATTATGTGCATATGAATTTTATATTTGAATGAAAAATAAGAAATGTAGGATGAATATAGTTTAAAAAAAAAGACTTACCAATGTCAGTAATTGGTGCTTTTGTACTGTATCCCTTGAGATGTCCAGAGTCGCAATCATCAAGTAATTCCGGTTTCTCCGGTAAACCAGCGATAACAAAGTAGTCGGCGACTTTCCGCTCATCCATGTTTTACAATTTTACATACGAGTACCTACGACAAAAATCTCGTGGTCACACCAATGTCAGCAACAAGAAAAATAAATACAACCAGTACTTTTAAGGTTAACGAACATTTACAACACCAATTCATGTACTCTTGTAAACAGACCAGTTTATATAACACAGAGATAGTTAAAATAAAAATAAAAAATGCACCAATAACATGAAACCCTTGAAGTGAACTTACAGTTTATTGCTACGGTTAACAATTTGAGCATGAACACGTCACACATCGTTTTACGTAAATATTTTATTTATAGATTTATTGCGTTGCCATTTAAATTCACTGCTTAGTTTTAACACAGAGGTGCACTTGAAAATTATTCGTTTTTATTGAGACTTGCAAAACGTCATTTTGTCCGACAACAATCAGCCATAGACAATATCTTTTTTTGCTTCCTCATCCTAAAAGTGACAGACGAAAGCAAACATGCATACAGCCTATATTTCATCAAATTCCACCTTTCCCATTTCTGTTAAATAAATACATTATATTCATAATTTTGATTAACTTTACGATTTATAAATACTAAGAGATACCGTAAGTTTCAATGTTAAAAACGAATTATAAAATCATGGTGCCATAGACAATTGATAACAAAAAATATAAATATAATAAACTTTTATTTTAAAGGGGGCAGGTAGATATTCGAAATATTAAATAACAATGTCCTTCTTCTGTTGGTCGCAGTGTGGATGATAAAATAATAGACTTCATCACTAGTCTACAATGGCCCACTGGTGAGCAAAGACCTCTTCTTACACGGAGTAGGTTTGAATGTTACTAACCAAATATTTAACTTATAATTTGAAATTGCACACCAGGTCCCCTATTAATCGAGAGATGATCTCCGGCCACCGTAAGCGCGGGTCTGCGGACGGCGAGTAAGGGTAGCTCGCCGCCCGACCAGAACCAGACCCGAGCGTACGGCGCGTAGCGTTCCGCGCGCGCCTCAAAGAGCCAATAGACCACCACAGACGGGGCCCAATAGGGCTGATGTCCAGCTGGGGTTGCGGGGTAAGCGCAATGAGGCACCGCGATCTCGGCCCAGAGCAGGAGAAGGAACGGGGGGGGGGGTTTAGTCAGTAGGAGTCTGACACTCCCTCCCGCCCGGCGGCGGGAGAAGTCATTGGATGATCTGACAAAAAAAAGGTCACCTATTAATATTATTTTAATTTGGCGTTTGTTCGACAATTATCTTGTTGACATTTAAAATTAATACATTATCCAAAAGCATTGTTCAATTTGAACCACCAGTTCCGGAGGCAACGCGTTCAAAGGGACATGCTGTTCAGATTTACAATGTGTGCGCTTTTTAACATAATCCTACCCTGACCTGGACCAAATATTTGTGGATCAAATAAAGTGTTGTTCCATGTAGGAATCGATTCCCCGATATTTTGCGGGGCAGTGATTGCCCAGCCACCGTGCTAAATGTTTAGTCGTATCTTTTTAGTAAAAATAAATTGCTATTCATAGCAGAAACCCCAGTGGAGTAGCAAGTGCGTTGCCGGACCTTTTGAGAGACAAAGAGTTTTGAGGATTTTGGGATCGAGGGTGAGTGAAGGGAGCGAGGGGAAGAATGGGCTTCCGGTATCCCTACTCACACAGCGAGAGACGGTTTTCTATGAAGCCATTGTATTACTCCAGTCTAGCCACACGAAAAAAAGGGTTCACTATTTGATGATTAAGGGCGGGTGGGCCAAGCGAAATAGGTATTTAACGCTACCAAGAGTTGCCCGTGTTTACCGTAAAGCGACCCGTGCGCTAACGTCGCGGAGAGTGTCACATCACAGATAAGCAGGCAGTAGGTCAACTTGTCTGACGCCCACTTGCACAAACCCGAGTTATCCTTTCAACTCAAAAATAAAAGATTTAATTAATTAAAAACTCGTTTTATAACCGACTTCAAAAAAAGGAGGAGGTACTACATATGTTCGGCTGATTGTTTTTTTTTTGTATGTTCACCGATTACTCCGTCATTTATGAACCGATTTCCAAAATTCTTGTTTTGTTTGAAAGGTTATACTCCCGAGAGAGTCCCATTTTCATGAGGTCAGGATCTGATGATGGAATCCTAGGGAAACCAAAGGGAACTTTCGAAAATTGTAGGAACGACTAGCTTTTTACAAAGCTACAATTTGTCGATGGTCGAAGTCGACCTGATAATGGAGCCGGAAGACAGTCGAGGGATCTGCTTTATTATTTGCAGTAGTTACCTTGTGTTTGGGCTTGAATGATTCGTATTGGTGAGCACTTTGCACCAAGATTGATCGCGACTGTCATTAGGGGTCTAATGATGAGAACGAAGGGCAGCTCAGGGAACGGTTCACAGTAACTACCTCGTGTTTGGACTTAATTCATTTATAACGATGCAAACTTCGCACCTATAGATGGAAACCATTGACAGTCGAGGGAATCCCTCAACGATTTACAGCTAAACTAACCAAACACTGACTAACTCAGGACTACTTCGTGATTTTCGGTCTCAAGTAGCAGTCGTCTTCTCATTCGAAAACCATTATACTTGCTGGCTCTGCCTACAACACTTAAAATGGTGAAATAAATAATTTTTAACAAAAATATTCCGACTTCTAAAAGTAAACTAAAATTTTAAAGCAAAAAATAATTTTTCTTCGTAGAAATTAATACACGTTTTCATTTAGTATAATAGAAAATAATATTAATAACCATTTTCATCATCAAAGTCATACCAAAACAACAACAGTTTTATAAAAATATATTGATCGGTAACTCCTATTCATCAAAATAACAATGGTATAGGTATTCTTGATGTGTGTTATAGGTAATCTTTACACTATTTTTGTTTTACTTGGCATCGACTTCAAGATTATAAAATGGTTATTAATATTATTTTCTATTGTACTAAATGAAACATGTATTAATTTCCACAAACAAAATTATTTTTTGCTTTTTAGTTTACTTTTTGAAGTCGGAATATTTTTGTTAACAATTATTTATTATCAATTGTTTTTGTATAAGAAATACGAAAAACAAAAAATCTACTCGGTATTTAAATGGAATGTATTTAAATCATTCAAAACTCTTATATTTTTTTATACAACAACCATAATAATAAATGTGTCTAAATTATTATTCATGTACTACATTATACATCTTAAAATTCTTCAAAAGGTTTTTGTCTTGAACAATTGTGTCTTCCAGAAATTATCGTCCCTTTCGATACGTTCTGTAAGCATGGGTTCATTTTCTCCACCCTAGATGCCGAGCAGACAAAATTGTCTTTCAGTAACGTGAAGCTCCCTGTCCTTGTATTTGATAAAACAATTTGATTTTTTATTTACTGTGGACGTGCAAGTCTTTTTGTCATATTTTAAAATTTTAGCTTGTTATGCTGTACTGCACTGGTAGGACCTTTTTTACAGCTGTTAAAGGACACTTAATTTCAATGAGCGTATCATCGCCTACTAATCCGTCAGGAGTGGCTCTAATAAATGGATAAGTCCTGTTTATGAACAAACCGCAAGGCAAAATACTTATATTTTCTTGTTTTTCAAGCTGTTGACGTGCTTGCCTTTCGTGCTCTATTCCGTGTGCAACAGCAATTACACATGTCAAATATAATTTTTATACCTAATATGTTTTTTACTAAAAGAGCACTATGCTATATGCTAATTTTTCTTTTACAAATTTGCCCAAAATTTGATTCGGTGATTAGGTTTTTCCGTATTTCCAACCATTCACTGCTATCTCGTTGCAAAACTGTAGCCCTTTCGATAGCCTGGCTATCAGAAGTAAGCATTCTTAAATTATTTAAGAACTCTACTTCAGCTTTTTTCAGTTCATGTGGAGACATATTTGGTGCTGTGCTCGCTAATGTCATGTTGCTTTTGATTGCCGTCTTTTTAATTTCCGTACTTTTTTTCACGGGATGCCCGAAGTTTAGGTTTCGTTCTGAGCTCTCCGTCTTTCAATGATTTTGGCCCTGTCTTTAGGACTTTTGTTTAAAAAAGCTGTTTGGACGGCTGAAAGCCCCTTTTGGCTGTTAAACAAAAGAACAGGTGCTGAAACACCTTCCTTGATAACCTCCTTTTAATGAAATTATACGTTTTCCACCAATGAATTTAACGATGACACTATTAAAACAGTCAACAAGTTTGTGTCAACGTCTTCGATTAAGCTGCGTGATTTTGCAGCAAAACTTGAAACAATCGCGTTTATTCGGACAATGAAAGTGGAATTCTGGGTCTTTTTAGTATCTGTTTAGTTCTTCGTTGTCATTTCTATCTTTATTGCAATAATATTCTTGGCACATTCTATGGTCGCCTAAAGCATGAGCTACACAGATGATAATATCCGTTTGAAGATTTGATATTGCTACATTGCCAGGACCTTCAGAGGTTTTGTGAAGTCTAATACATTGTACTATCGATTTCCGCATAGTCAAAATTTTGACATTATTAAGCATTTTACGATGCACTTAAACATACTTTGTGTCTGTAATCAGATTACGTAGTTTTTTACAGAAGTTTGTAGTTCTGATATTTTTGTACAGTGGCTTACCATTCGACAGGCAGGATACCGAACGAAAAGACAAAATATGAATTAAATTTAATTATGCAAAATTCTAGCTATCATCGGTACTAATATATTTATAAACTATACTAGAATAATCATAAATTTTGCATTTACCAATCAGAGGCTAAATAAAATAAAATTTAATTTTGCGAACAAATTACATATTGCAATACAAATAAAATGTTTACGTAAATTAGTACTTCTTCTTTAACTACTTCTTTCTGTGTCTTTTATCACTTTACGCGACTTTTTTCGCCTGCGTTTTTTACTACCCATTATGATTTATAACTGCAAAGCAATAAATTCTCAAAAAGATGATTTGGTGCATGTAGTTGTCGCTGAAGAAACTGACACAGGTCCGTCGTCGACAAGCGCCAGCACGCGACTAATCGGACATGTTTGAGCCGCCGCGACCGCTTTTAAAACATAATGAAACATAGTAATTAAGAAAATCATTTTATCAATTTTAACTCTGCGAATTTGTCTGTAACTAATAAGTTTCTTTATTATAGTACAAAAATGAAACGTAAAAAATCAGTAATATAGTCGTAATATTGAAAAAACGTTTTAAAAAGGGGTAACTTTGCGATTTTTTTCTATCGAGTGAAGTTCATCAAGTCTTTCAACTGAATGCGATTTTAACTAGATAAGATCCTCAACTAAAACATATATATTTTTTGTAATTTAAAACACTGTAGTTTTTGTCTCAGATTGTTTTAAAAAACGTAATTTTGGGCCCACCTCGCCTTAAATCAAGAAACAAAATTATTTTAAAGCACTTCGGCGTTCATTGAGTCACCCAGTATTAAG